CTGTGGAAAGAGGACATGGGGTACGTGCGTGCAATCACAGGGAGGCCAGGGAAAGAGGGTGCAGGGTGTGTGTGTGTGTGTGCGCAATTGCAAGGAAGCCATGGAAAGAGGGCGTGGAGTATGTGCATGCATGTGTGTGATCACATGGAGGCTGTGGAAAGAGGACATGGGGTACGTGCGTGCAATCACAGGGAGGCCAGGGAAAGAGGGTGCAGGGTGCGTGTGTGTGTGTGCGCAATTGCAAGGAAGCCATGGAAAGAGGGTGTGGGGTGTGTGCAAGTGAAGGGAGGAAGGAGGGTGTGGTGCCTGCGAGCAGAGACAGGCAAGGGGAGACTTACTCCAGCGACTTGTGACCTTCCTTGTCAGCTTCCCATTGACTTTACTTGGGAGAAGCTGGCAGGGAAGGGCGCAAATGGTGATCACGTGACTGTGGGATGCTGCAACTGGTTGTAAGTGCGAGCTGGTTGCCAGGCACTTGAATTTTGTTCACGTGACCGCGGGGGGGCTGTAACGGCCGGAACTTTGAGGACCAGTTGTAAGTCTCTTTGTTCAGCACCATCATAACTTTGAATGGTCGCTGAATGGTCATAACTCGAGGATTACCTGAATGCTAATTCTTAAGAGAAAGGAAGCCTACCTATAGATTTTAATTAAACTATAGAGTTTTTACCTATGAAGGTATTTCAATGGTCTGTTTTATAGGTTTGTAAGACACCTATTTCAGGTTAAAAGACAACTAGGGAATCTACAGAGTGAGCTTCAAAGTTATCGTCAAGAGTTTTTTAAGTCTTAAGTCTACTCTGACCTTATTTAATTATGCCCATTCCCTGGAAACTTTCCCTGACACTTCACTATCAATGCTTTTATATTGTGGGGATGGATGTTTCTTTAAACTGCTAGCCTTTCCACCCATGCATTAACCTCTCCACAAACAATTGCCTATTCAGACTGTAACTATTGGTAGATGTGCTTGAGAGTTGCATATCTACTATAAGTAGAGTTGTGAGATCACCTATTTTTATTATTATTTTTAAAGATTTGTGTGTGTGTGCGCCTTCGAGTCAGTGTTGACTCCTGGCGACTGCCTGGACAAGTCCCTGTGGTTTTCTTGGCAAGATTTCAGAAGCGTTTTGCCTTTGCCTCCTTCCCAGGGCTGAGAGAGTGACTGGCCCAAGGTCACCCAGCTGGCTTTGTGCCCAACGCGACTAGAACTCAGCTTTTACTTCATAGATTAATGCAGGATAAATTAAGCTACTTAAACACAATGCATGGAAATACTGATGCCATTTCATGCACATTTCTTCAGATATATATCATGGCGTGGTTAAACCTAGAATATATAGTTCTATTGTAATGGTGATATATCTTCATCTCTCTGTGGAGATGCCCTAAGATAAATATAGGTCATTGAGATTATTTCATTTTTGTACATTATTTTGGCCATTGCTAATAGAAAAATGGTTCATAACATTTAAAAGTTGTAACTTTTAAAACAACTTGAAATACATATAGGGTGTATCATTAATCAGTAGAATCATTTTTACTCTCAAACACAGAAATAGAAAAGAGCCATTCATTCTAAAACAATATACAAAGTACACCTTAGAGTGGAGACTAGGAAAGTGATTTGGCCCATAGATAAAATTATAACTTCACTGAGCTTGAAGGACATATTCCTAATTTTCTATACACATGCCATCTACTGAAAAAAATGCTTATGTTTTTTACAGTTACACACACACACTATATGTTTATGTATATGTATGTCTTTATGTCTTGCTTGCTTGCTTCTCAGAATCTCCTGCCTACATACTGTAGTTTTGCTTTCTTTCTTCAAAAACACATCAAATCATGGATTGATGGTTGATTGTTTTGGCCCAGTATTTCTAAAGCAAACTTTCAAAAAAAGCTATGAAATGATGATGAAGTTACTTGCATTTGCGTTTCCAGCATATATAAATTAAATAAAACACCATTAATCTTTTTCAAAACTTATTAAGAGTACACATGCCATCTATTGAAAAAAATGCTTACCTTTTTTACAGTTACACACACACACACACACATGTATATGTTTATGTATATGTATAAGTGATTTCAAAAGAAGTATATTTGATTTTTTAAAAAAATTGTGGTCTGAGTTGCTTTGCATGTTTGTGCCCAAAATGTTTGTGAGACTGTGACATTTACATGAACACCATTCCAATGAAAAAGAACTATTCTGTTCTATCATAAGGGTACTCAGACATGTAACAGATCCTTGCATGGCCTTCCTCTTCTCCCTTCACAAAAGAAGGGCCACAATTTTTTCCTACTCTCTTCACTCCATAGCAATTGGACTAATTTAAATTATTATTTCAGGAGACAGATCAGGATTGGGATTGGTGAGGAAAGCAATTCCCCTCTTATTTAATAAGGTAGCAGGGGAGGCTTTAGGAATCTACCTGGAAGTTGCAGATCTTTCAAACTGGAGTCCTTGAAACAAATAAAAAAATGTGTTGTTCTTTAGAGATGTCAAGCAAGCAAACTGCATAAGTACCAAGTCAATAAAGAAAAATAGCAAAAGTAGACCCACCCCAAAATCCTTTGTTTCATTTCTCAGTTTGTCTACACACAAATAAAATTACATCCCTAGAGTTAATGGGGGGCTTTTCTAACATTGGGTCACTGAGAAGTCATTGGTAGGCTACATAAATTTATCAAAGGATATGCAGAACACCGAGATGCGATACTCACATCATTGGGAATGGTGAGTTCATGAGTACTGGCCGGGGGACTGGCATCCAAACCTGAATATATGCAAGGGAAAATGGTTATTGCTTGAAGAGAAAGTATGGCACATTTGATGGTATTTCACCAAAATAGCAGCTCTTGTGAATTTCCAGATTGCACTAGGGCCAAAGGATAAGGAAGGTTGAAGGTTTCAGTAAATAACAGGTAAAATTAAAGCTCTGAAAGTAGTTGCCATAATATTTCAGTAGATAACAGTCCAGTAGATTCTAATGCAGTGATTTCATGTTCTTTGAATACTGATCTCCTCACCTCATTTTGTCTGCATTTAGGAATTAACAGCTGGCTTATTATTTACACTATTACACTCTACTATTACACTATTTTTCAGTGTTCAAGATGTTACTGTTGGTCAATGAAATAAAATATATATCTGCTTAGAAATACTAGTGAAGAACTTGTAGCTATTTTGGAGGCAAATTTTATCTACACTGTTACAGTGGATATTTTAAATTGACCTCCCCCCCCCCGCCAAACGGACAAATTAATACACTCTGTGCTACTCATTGTGTATTGATGGCATTTGCAAGGAAGAAGCATATTTTAAACCCAGTTCTAGTGAAATAATGGAGTTTTCTAGCAAAATTACTCTGAATGTTTATAGCATGAATGACAGAGATATATTCTGGCCAAGGGGGAAGTAGAACTTGTTATGATCTGGGGAGTTAACAGCAAGGAATATTTTATATATTTTTTGTACAAGTGTGAAAACAAATTATTATAGACACTAAATCTACAGTAGAATGAAAGCATTCACCAGATTATGATAATATGTTCTTTGTACTGAAATTACACATATCCAAAAAGAAATGGGGACTTTAGCCAATAAACTGGGAACATCATAATCTGTTTTCTAAAACTTTTTTTTAAGTTTACAGTAATAGGAGGACTGTAACCTCTACAATTAATTCTTTATGATTCCACATAGTTCCTGCAGGAGCATGTTGCAAGGTAAATGAAAGCAATGACCTAACCACTTGTTAATCTAGCCTAAAAATTCACATGCTCAAAACCCAACTAATATCCAATAATAAGTGGCCTCCATGAAACTTGGGAGTTCTTTTTAATAAGAGCCACAGAACCATAGTCTCTTGTCCAAGTGTAAGAATGAACAGTATTCTGAAAACTTCCTGTTATGACAGTGCATAAAATCTTCTGTGCAGCCCATTGGGCAACCTTTTATGGAAGAGTATGCACAATATACGGCTTTCTGAAACCAATACAACTCCAAGAAAACAAATGAAAATACATTCTTAATTACCTGTTGCAGCTTAATCATCATAAAAAAATCTGTATATAGTGAATTTCTTGTGCTTAAATTGCTTCTTTTCAGAACATTGCATGCAATCTTAACCATGTAAATAGATTGAGGATACAAATCTACATGTAAATTAATCACTAGTTTTTCAGGGTATAGATACATGCAGTAATTTTAAAAATCTAAATGAACAAGCTCCTTGTTATGAATAATTCATAACATACACAAATAAAATATGTGAACAATCCTATAATGTGTACTTTAGTCAAAAACAGAGGAAGCGTAAGATATAATATAGCCTGTGTAATATTCTGTACTTATGGAACTTTTTCCAGAAGAGATAATGAATATTTGCTAAGCAAGACTTGGTATAATTCCAACTTCATGATCTCCATTAAGTAATATACATGGTACAATATTTATAAAGGCTGACAATAGATAGTTTGCAGGCTGTGTCTCAGAGAAAGCACAGTCATTCGGAAGTATGTTTCATTAAGACTAGTAAGATTTATTTCCATGGAGCTGTGCTGGGATCAATATGAATCTGTATTTGTAATACTGCAAGTGAACAGAATCTGGTTTTGTGCCTCCTTCTGAATAGTTTGAAAGCAAGTTAGTCCATGATAGATGCTGAGAGTTTTCAGCATAGCACACAGTACTAACCGAAAAGAAAAGACAATAAAAGAAAAGACAAGAAAGGGGTGGGGGGAGAAGCCATAGTCTGCTACCCACGGCCTGGGAAGATATAAGGAGCCGGAAGGGAGAAAGGCACTAAGCAAACATCCAAACACCCGCTCAGTCTGGTGAAACTTAGAAATGAAACTTAGCAATGATAAAGTCTGCACTCATCAACTTACAGATTTGATTTGTAAGGTTTTTAATGAAGGTTTTAAAATTGCATTTGATGGAATCTTGGGACCTGATCTGGTGCATGTGAGGATCAATAAATGGCTGGATCTATTTTCAGAGACACTCCTAGTTTCAGGAGAATTTGTGTGAATCTTCAGATTGGTAGAGAAGGGGGCTTCACACATTGCCCTGTGTCCCTGGTAAGTGTTGTGTTGATATAATGGCACAATAAACGTTTATTTGTAAGAATTTTATATAACTTTATATAATAGTGAGACCTTGATTACAGAATGTTATGTTGGGAAATGAAAATAATTTTTTCTTATGCAGATGTCTTTTACATGGAAATAACTTTTTACTTTGCTCATTCCTTTCTAACAATATCTAATAAATGCCTTTTATACAGCTGTAAAACACACAAAAATCATTCCATGAACCAAAGCCAGGATCTAAGGATGAGCAGTAGCTTTGACTTGGACAAACTCAGGAATGCTTTTTATTTTTATCACTTTTGCCAAATCAGAGATTCCTTTAGAAAGAGTGTGTGGGGTGCGATGGAGAGAGCGCAGGTGCTGCTTAGTCCAAGCTAAAATGTGGGAATGAAAGAAGAACAGTTTCAAAAGCTGAAGGGAACAGAAAGATGAAAGAGCTAAGTCTAAAGAGGAGCCATTTCAAAAGTGACATGTCATTCTGCTGGAGAGTTCTAAAAATGGACAAATTGTCTTAACTATTGCCATTTTCTTCATTATATTGCAGTGTGTATAATTATAATTGCACTGTATCTTGCCTCCTGAATATCCATAAAACTGTCCCATCAATATAATCAGAGCAGCTGCTTGATATATGGCTTTAGAAATAATAAAAAGGACTCTGTGTCTGTATTTCCTGTAGGCTTTATTTTACCTGAGGACTGGCCCATCAGATTTTGAGCTTCTTCGGAGGAATGTAAGGGCAGCTTTTCTCCTGAAGAGCAAAGAAGAAACACATTTAATTTTTTTTTTTTTTGCCTTCAAGGAGAGAAGCAATGTCACTTCATCTAGGAAGCTCAAAATATGATGAACAAAATGGCAGAAAAAGCAAGTTCTGATCATCCAAATCAAATGCAATTCTATTAAAATATATGTTCAGTAACACATAAATAATAATAATATCCGCCACCCTAGTTTTCTACAGAAAAATATTTCCTTTTCCTAATATTTCTGAGGTTATCAGAAATTTCTATCAGAAATCTAGTTGATGCCTCAGATAAAGGGCTGGAGCTGTCTTAATTTTCCCATTAAAGCATCGTACATATTCTAGGCATTCGTTAATCATCTATATATCTCTGAATCCTAATAGTGTAACTTAGAACGTCCAAAACGATCAGGGACAATTGTGAGAAATTAACACCAGCCTCTCAATGCAGATGCACCCTTACCCCCTAAATAAAGGACTGTTATGATATGGGTCTTAGGGCAGATAACAGCAATACGTAACTTGCAAACATATAACCTGACCTTTTCTCAAAGGGTCAGAGAGCAAAACTCTAGTGTCTTAATAATAAGAACTTAAGTTCTCCATTAATAATTCCATTTTGATTACACATTGTTTCTTTTGATCCAACAAACCAAGCTTAGAAAAAGAGAGAACTGCACAGGTAAAAAGAGAAGGAAATCTGTAAAGGGAATTTGGGTACGTACCAGGGAAAGCAGGGGTGGTCTGTCCAAGGGGAGTAAAGGGGGTTTGCTGCATAGCCAACTGGTGGAGCTTGGTCAACTGCTGAGGGGTAGGAGGGATATTAGAACTAAGAAGGTTATTGTTATAGAATACAAGTCACACTGAAAACCAAGAACAAAATTATAATAATAGTGTTTTTAAGAAAGAAATCAGGAAGCCATGTGGAATCATGGCAACATACAGGTTTTATAGAAGGACTTGGCCTGGGAAATTATAATTGTTCAAATTTCTGGCAGATGTGCTCATTCAGGATCTGAAATACAGCAGCCTAGTTTTGGTGTTGTGTCTTTCCTGATGAAATTGTAAATATGTGGTCATCATGAAACCTGAGCCAGGCATGAGAATATGTGAATGTGACATTGCCAACTCCCGGGGGGTTCTACTGCATGGGAACCAACAGTGCTTCTAGAGCTGTAACCTGGAATTGGTAGTTCAGGGACTTCAAAACATTGTAAGTTTCATAACTGGGTAGATGACCCAAATGAAAAATCCAATATGTGTTTTGGCCAAAATAGGTATGTATTTCAGATTCTGTTCATCCCTTCTTGTGCTTTTAATATTAGACTTCTAATAACTCTCCAATATATTTTGTGCCAAATCTGTACTGTTATCCAAACAACAAAACAACAGTAAACCAAATCTGCTTTAAAAGCCATGCTGTGTAACAGCCTGAAGTGGTAGGACAATAATTAGATTCTAATATCATTACAGAAATCCCTTACAGCCATAGTAATTGGCTGTGGGAAGTTACCATAAAGCCAACCGGGCCAGCCTGCTAAAATGTGAGGCTCTGATCCTTTGAATTTAGAAGGGAAAAAGATTAAAAATAAAAAAATCCAAACTCCTGCTTCTGCAGCATATCTGAGGGAAGGGGTGCAGAGAAGTCTGACATCGGTGCTGTAATAGTCAGATGAGCCAGAATACGTGGGAGGCTGAAGAATACAGGCAAGTTACAAGGAGATTGAAAAGCAGAGTTTTTATTAGTTAACCAAGCTGGCGAGCAAAACATGAGAAACCCAGGGCATCCTACAAACTATGTTGTTTTTAAATAACTTAAAAGATGGAGAAAAAAATCTGAAGCAATTAAGTTGCTTCTACTTGGAAAACAAATGTTCTATTCTTCAAAAGTGTGACATTCATTTTTATGTAACCTTTACTGTGCTGAAATTTGTCCTTAAGCACAAATTGGGTTATTTTTTATCTATATTCCTTAGGTCAGTGTAGTGTGAGTTCCATGGAATTTTGCAAGAACAAATAAAGCGGGGGAAAACAAACTAGGATTTGGCCAAACTATTATTATTGCTTAAGATTGTTTCTAGCTTCCTTCTGGCTTATTCAACAAGTTATGGCTTTAATTTCTAGTAGGGGACTTGTGATGGGAGACAAAACTACACAGTAGTCAGGCTCACACATCATGCTAAGCCATAATATGGTTGATTTACTTTAGTATGAAGTGTAAACAGAGACAGGAAGTAACGAAGAGCTGCCCTTCTGATTTCAGTTATGATTGTGTACGTTGGAGGGAATACACAGTTATGATCAAAACCATTGTGTATAGGTTGGGAAGATTTTGCTTTGCAAAAGCCATGTATGGAGGCGTTTAAAAAGAAAACAAATCCTTGGATGATTCAGTAGTGCTTCTTTCTTGTGTCCCCCCCCCCCCAACAAAATGTAGTTATTCTTCAGTCATATCTTCTTTTGAAGGACTGTCTCAAATTTGGCATCACCTACTGAATATAAATTTGATTCAGCCTTCTCCAACAAGAAACTATATGTTCCACCAGGAAATTTGGTAGGACAGGATGCAGCGGCAGGATTAAAGCTTGAAAATGATAGAAACATGGTCAGGAAGTGTCTGTTTTGAATAAATTTAAAGCTCTTGAACTGCAAAGGAAGTTGTTGGTGGTCTAGCTGAATTCTTATGTATTATCTTGGAGAAACAATGGAGAATGGGTAAAGTATCAGATGACTGGAGAAAAGCAGATGCTGTCCATATCTGCTAAAATGGGCAAAAGGAAAATCCAGCAAACTACAGACTACTCAGTCTGACATTGATACAAGGGACGATCCAAGAGCAGATGCTAAAGATCTTGAAAAATATTGCCAGACTAATCTTACCTCATGTTTTGATCAAGAAGCTTCCTTAATAGATTGTGAGCATGCTGTAGACAAAATATATCTTGACTTCAACAAAACATTAGTTAATTACCCCATAACATGCTAATCAGCAAGCTAGTTAAGCATGGACTGAATAGCATGACAGTTCATAGCTGGCTCAAACTTCTTGAAAGAATGTTGATCAGTGGGTCCTCATCAAATCAGAGAGAGGTATCAAATGGGGTTTCATAAGGATTAACTAATTTTTTTAACTAATGATTTCATTAATGATTTGGGTGCAAAGGTGAAGGAATGCTTATTAAATTTAAAGATGATGAAAAATTGGATTGGATAGCCAATATACTAGAAGATTGAAATGAAATTCAAAATGATCTTGATAGGTGGCAGAAATGGTCTGAAAGTAACAGAATGGAATTTAACAGACAAGTGCAAAGCTCTTCATTTAGGAAACAAAATCACACACACCGATATACAATGGGGAATACCTACTTGGAAAAAAGATATTGGATTTGTAATTGATTGTAAACTGAATTCATTGCCAAGTGTATGATGTGGCTGCAAAGAAGGTAAATGCAATTTTAGGTTGCATCAACAGATATTTAGTTTCCAAATCACAGGAAATAACCTACTTTGATTACAGTATTTGATAAAAGGATATCCATCTCAAATACTAGGTTTAGTTCTGGACACCATACTTTAAGGATTCAAAGAAACTGAAACAGAGTTAGAAAAGGGCAATGAAGAGGATCGGGGGACTAGACCCTAAACCCTATGAAGTAAGATTGAAGAAGCTGGACATTATCTTTAGGAAGGATAATTGAGGAGGGATATGACAGTCACACAGATCACACCCTGTTCTCTCTTGTTCCACAGTGCAGGTCACAAAGTAATGGATTTAAATAACAAGAAGGCAGATTCTGATTGAATGTTAGAAAAAAAATCTTAACAGAAAAAGGGCTTTGATAATGGAACCAATTACCCAGTGAGGTGGTGGGCATCTCTTCACTGGACATTTTTAAGTGGAATCTAGATAGCCTTCTGTCTCGGATATTTTAATTTGAATTCTTAAATTAAGAGGCAGTTGGAATCAATCGCCTAAGTGACCCTTGAGACCAGACAAACAGAAAAGCCTTCTTTACAAACCAAGCTAACTTACTGTGATTCTATTGCCATCAGATGCGATGGCTGTGTTTCAGATGGATTTAACAGAGAGTAGAAAAATCAGATGAGAAAATGTTTGCCATGACAGATATGTAGAACATCTGTGTTTTATGCATATTCAGAAGATGAGATGTTGAATACTAGATAGGGAACATACAATGGAGGAGTTGACTACTGTTGGAAGTAATAGTCAGAATAGACTTCTGATATAATCCAGCACAGAAATCCTTAAATGTGCTTCACACTTGGGTGCCCATATAGCGGGCTGGGTAAATGTAGATAGGCATTATGATAAGAATATATTGGAAAATATGACACACTTGAAAGAGCCGTGGGCCATGCTGATTCCCATGTAGCATTCCAAATCCTGCCAAAATAACCAAATACTTGTAGTCTGACCAAAATAAGCCAGAATGCTGGGAACTAAGTGGCAAACCTATTTAGCCCCAGTCAAAAGAAATCTTACTGCATGGTGGGAGAGATGCTGCAGTGTAACATGGAATCTGTAAGTAGAAGGAAGTAGTATCAACTAACATATAAAGCAATACTGCCCTCTTTTGATCAAAATAGGAAGCTGGGACATCCCCTAAAAGCCATAGTGGATGGAGATGCAATGATACCACAACTGGGAAATGGATAAGACTGGGATTTATGGGCATATATGCCTGGGGCTTTGGACTTTTTGTTTCTGGGCTTTTTGAAAATGTGTTGGGCTATTTTATAGCTCATGCAGCTTTTATGTTTCATTTTCTAATGAAAAATTTTCCTCTTGGTGATACCAAATTTCAGGGGCTGAAGACCACAAAATAGGGTTTTGAATTGTAGGTAATTATAATGTATATTCAATTATACAGTATGTATATAATGTAATTGAATGACAAGTATTATAATGTAATCTAACTTTTCCATCAAGAATTTTATGACTTGGGACCCAATGGAACAGTGTTTTATTAAACCCTGAAACTGTTGTTTATTCACCATATCATACTAATCTCTGTGCCAAACTTCCAGAAATTTTACCTCTACAGTGCAAGGGTAGGTTTATAACAGTACTCCCTGATGAGAAGGGATCGCCCTTTTAAATGCTCAGAACTTCAAAGAGCTTCCTGCTTCTATCTAAGATTGAGGATACTCAAGAGCATCTGGGCTTCTAAATTCCATCCAAACCCACAAAACAAATGTGTTATAATGATTGCTGATTTCTCCATTATAGTGCATGAGAAGAAACTGAAGCTTTGGAAAAATAAAGCATGGTTCTTTCCTAGATCCAAAGTGAACTGCTCATCTCCAAAAAGAGGTTTCAAGCATGCATATATCCAGTGAATATAATGAATTCCTTGAACATCTCTTTGACTTGCACACGCTTCAGTTAGGCATGTGCACTGAACTCAGCTTGGGCTGATTCAGAAAGATTCCAGGGATGCCAAAGTAAAGTAGGGCTTCCTGAAGTGCAGTGAATTCAGAAGTGAAATATCCTGAATTTGAAATATATTCAGAGGACATACCGTGGAAAGCCAGGTTTATTTTACCTGAATAGGCCACAGTTTAAACTCACTGAGGCTTATACAACACAATAGCTCCAGATCAAACCAATCAGTGTGTCTTTCAGAACTGATACATTTCTCAGCAAGTTTCTTATACAGTATAAGGAGAATGAGGAAAGAGAGAGGATGGTATGATTTTTAGTAAAGGTGCAAACAAATTTTGCATTAAAAAGACATTGTTTTAATTTCTGGTTTTAGCTCCTTGGCAGACTTGTATCAGTGTGAACTTTGCAGTTTGTGAAGTATGGGCTGCTCACTGTCCTGGACATTCAACCAACAGTTTCCACTGTTTTGAAAGCCAGATTGCAAATGTTATATATTCCCTAGAAACTATGTAATCTGTGTAACCACTTATGTAATCATTTGGTTAGGCAAATTGATTACAGATACCTAACACACTACAATAAAAAACCACAATCTCTTTTCCCTTGTTGACTCAATTCTTGACAGCACACTAGGGAAAATACACACATATGCATACATTACGGATGTCTGAGAGACTGCAAATGAATATAAGTACTTTTTTACATAACTTTTCGTATTAAACCTCAGCTAACAGTTATGAAACACTGCACATATGTTTTTTTAAAGAACCAGAAACTGGGTTGGACTGAAATATTGCAGAGATTAAGGTAACAGAATTTGAACAAATTGCATATTTCAAAATTTGAGATGGACAACTGTGTTTATAAAAAAAGTAAGGCCTTTTTTGAAGCTCTTAGAATCAATGTTTTGGTTTTATGAGTAAATATTTAGATCAGATACTAGCTGGAACTAAGAGAGACCACCAAATCAGCACAAAGAGAGTTGTGCTGTTTTCACTTATTACAATCTAAACTGAAATATGTGATCAATAAAATCTTCCTCTAGCAGCTGACCTTTTTCTAAGCTGATGAGGTTTCTTTCATCTAGAAAGTGTTCTGTTTCTGTTACTCTCTCTAGTTAGGGATGTGCTTTGTGCGATGTGATAACATTTCTTATTTGAGAAATAATGGCACTGATTCCCATAGGCTGATATATATGGTCTTTATTATCTCCTTTCCCACTCCTATTCACTCCTCTCATTTGGTTTGGGACTGAAACAGCTGAGTACAAATTATTAAAATGTCATGATGTTTTCCTTATAGCTGCATCTGTTTTCTTTTCCACCTACTGCTACAAACACACTCGGACTTAACCATGGTACAAATCTGCAAAGGCTTTATTTTCTCACTTATAATATATAATATGCATGGAGTTGTGGAATTTTATTAAACTAAAGGAGGGAGGGAGTGGATTAGGCCATCCTACTTTGTGAACAATGCTCACTGGGCTCTTCTTCTCAAGAACAGGGGCCTTGAGTCACAGCTGCACAATAGAAATCGATTCTTTATATGGTTTAACACTGAAGTTTTAACTTCAGATTGTCCAGTGTTCTGTATCACCCTGAAGCCCTTGGGAGATATAAGGATCACTAGCACCGTCATTTCCATACCCATTTCTCCTCCCTGCATGTTGAATGAGAAGTAGGTTTAAGTTTGTTTGTTTCCCTGTTTCTTCCCTATTTTTATGTATTGTATATTTCTCCTGATACACTTGTTGTTGTATGCAGTTGATCAGATACAGACATTTTTTAAGCAATTATTATAACTACATTTTATTACATTTTCTCCTAAGACAGGTATTTTCTGATCAGAGAACAGTATCCCCAAATCTGGACATCTACAGATACCAAAAGAGAACTGCTTAACAAACTGAGTATGCATTCCAAAAATAAAAATTGGTAAGACTGCCTTGAATGCGAGCCCAATAAATTTTGCTCTTCCAGCTCATTTAGGCTATACTTATTTTCTCTTCCATACATACATACATACATAAGCACACAAGCCTAGATATTGAAAACAGGTCAAAATGAAGCCCAGACTAGATTTTTTCTCCATATATGAAATTCAGTGAGAGCACCCATTGGCAGCATGGAATGGTATAAATAAAACTCATTCATAATCTCAGTCTTGCAGCTGAGATGAGAGAACAGTTGGTACTAAGCTCACTTATGAGAAGCATTTTCACAAATGTAGCTCTTCTCTTTCATTATAACTAAGACAATGTAAGCCACCTTGAGCTCCTGGGGAAAAGGCAGAATATAATTAAAATAAATAAATAAGCAAAGACTAAGAAAAACAGTGAGGATTCTGGGTATAACCACATCATAAAATAAAAAAAATGCATAAACTCAGGTGGTTTTATCTCATTATCAGCAATTTCTATGGCAGGAAAAATTAAAGAAAAGGCTTTTTTATAGCTAATATCAGAGGACAAAAATTTAGCAAAGGGATAGCACAGAATAATTTTGATAATTTAACAACAGGCCAAGTCCTCAATAGAAATGTAATTGAGTCCTAATTATTACCAATACTACACATGGCCAATTATTTTGAGAAAAGCATATTAATATTAAATATTAATATTAATATTACTTGTTTGACAAAGCATGCAGGTGACATAAAATGCATATACAAATAATGAAGATAAACTCACATCTGGATGTGGAATTGCATATTGTCCTTGAATTGTATAGGCCTGGAAAAAAAAGCAGTGTAAGATACTGACATAGCGACCAGTTACTATTTATTTCACTCCATACTGGCCTTTTATCACTAATCCACATAGCACCAATATGATAGCATCCTCCAGAGTCTGCAACTTTTGAGTCTGGCACAGCAAGGACATTGCCATATACATGTACAACACTATACTATAAAATGGGTTTAGGCCTATATAATAAACTGGAACTAAACTGAACCCTTTAAAATATATCTACCCAATGAAGCATTTCCTAAAGCTGGTAACAGTCAACCATTTCTACACCTCCTAAGCTGTTTGCCTCTGGCCCGCTTGGGAACGGATGCAAGTGAAACTCGGAGGAGGTCCACTGACCAACAGCAGAGCCAGAAGCTGGGAATGGGAGTGGATGGCACTTCCAAATGCCCATTGCATGGCCTCCCTCCCCTCTTTATCTGGCAGCTGGAGGGTCCTTTCCTCCTCCCTTTAATGCAGGCCCTGCAACTCATTTTCACTCACTCTGCAGCATTTCTTCATCCTACTTTGAGGGCCAGTGTTAGAGGGAGAAAATTTTTGAACAATTTATCTAAATAGGTCATCACAATTAAAGAGTTTCCATTAAGAGTGGGTCCTTGTATGAGTAAAAAGTAGTAGGTAGAAACACCCCTAGTAGTCCTCTTAGTTACCCTCTGGGCAATTACCTCACCTAATTACCTTGGGCTGGTGGCTGGGAGATGGCTCACCCTAACCCTTGCAAGCGTGAGTGGCCCAGCGGAAGGAGAGCTGAGTTAACTAGGCATCTCCTGTTCCAAAAAGATACTTGTTCCCATACAGACCAAGTTTAAACTCTATTACAAGATAGGCCCACATTTAAGCCCATAAGAATACCTCCTTTCTCTTCTTCTAACATTTAAATCTTGACCTTAATTTCCCTCTTAATTCAACCTTAACTTGTTTTACAACTCCATTAGAGGAGGGAGAGAGAATCTTTGGCACAGACTCTGCCATATGTATCCTACATTAAGATGTAAACAAAAGTCCTCTCTGAAACAGCTGTGTCCCCAATTCCTTCTCTCCACTCTAACTTCTACCCAGAATAAATATTTGTCTCAACTAAGCTTTGGACTCCCTACAGAGACAGTTGTGGGTGGCATTTGTCTTAGCTGAGTGGTATGGACTGACCGGTATTTCCTTCTGGATTTTACAGCTAAAAAATAGCAACTTTGATTAAGCTTGCAAGGGGGAGTTCAGGGAAGGGCCATCAGAGCTAGTCAAGGTGGATTGCCCTCTGATTGTGCACATCCTTCCACCCCTTCTAAGAGAGCTGCTTCTAACAGAGCTCTTAGAAGATATGATGATGACTATGATGATTATGATTTCATCAAGGAATAACACAATACAGAGAACAAACAAAAAGAATCACATGTTCTTTGGAATGTTGAGTTGGATCTTTGGATGTTCTTTGGAAATCTGAGTTCTAGCAAGGAACCTAAGCCTTTTCCAAATAACACCGTAATGTGCCCAGAGAGGTAGTTTTTTGCTAATCTGCATTTGATATAGCCAAAACATTTAGCTATTGTAAAAATGTGTTTAATCTGTTTGTTATTCTGCCTAATGTGCCAAGGGATGATTTTGCAAGATTTTTTCCACAAAGTATCTTTTCCGATAGTTAGATCATTATTACTTTTATTATTCTCTCTTCACAAAAAGACTATGATCACAAACAATGTATATATGTGAGTATTTCCATTATAAAGAATAAGGAAGTGGCAGAAAAACAATTTATTTCCCAAGAGTTCATGGCTGAACTATACAGTATTCCCAGGATCTAATTTTGCATTTTCCTTATTTAGGATTTCCCAGCTCTAAAAATCTACAATCAAATATTCAGTTTCTGAAACTCAGACAGAAGTATTTGACAAAGGAATGTAAACAACAGCAACAAGAGCAACAGTGACAATAACACTGTAATCTGTAGCCTTGTAACAAAGCTGCTGTGAGATTTGTTAGTGCAAGATGCTCTTGAGGTTGAATTTATAGGGCAAGATCTTAAACTTATTGCCCAGTAAATGACAATATGCCTTCCGTTGTTTGGCTGATAAAAATGTGGTATTAGCACATTTTCCACATACAGTATGCTTGTTTTACACACTCCTGTTCTTTTGTGAAAAAGAGAAATCACTGATGTAAGGTAGTAGAATACAGTAAAAAAACCCACCACCATTAACCCCCTAAGCTCTAATTCTTACAAACGGGCCAGTCTTTCCACTGAGGAACAGACACCATTCTCTTTCAGCTTCTCCTCTCTTGGGGATCTCTAAGTGAAAAGTTTGCAGACTATAAAATAACTTTCTTTTCTTTTTATTGAAAAATGGAAATAAAGAACACTCTATAAGCAGCAATAAAAATGCTAAAAGAAAGCACTTTCCATAAGTGATTTAAAGACAGTTCCATTTAAATAGGCTAAAAAGATGAACAATCACACATAAAGGGAGAGTAAGGACAGCAAAGGAAAATGAATGAAAAATTTAGTTTAATTTCAAAATCAAACCAGCTGGGGTCTTTAACTTAGGGTTCAGTATAATACTGTACCTGCAGAGGAGTGAGCAGTGCTTGGGATGAGGTGGAGGGATCATTTTCAATGCATTTGTCTATTTTTAAAAATTTCTTTCTGGTTTAAATATGTGTGTTTTATCAGTTGCCTTTTTTGAAAACACTGACACCAATAAAATAGGAAAAGATTTGAGCCATATAGTATAGAAGAGTGTGTTACCTTGCATTAAGCAAAGCAATTCCCTATTTGAACTCCAACACATGAACCTTCTGGGTTATATAAGACACAGCCATTTTTTGATACATAAAATAGAGATAAAGAAAGCAAGGACCCTTCTCACAAATTCAAGGGGAATATTTTGATACTGTACTATATCTGGGTACAACAGGTTTTTGTTTTTGTTTTTTGGTCTGTGCTCAGTCATTACTGACCCTGCAGTGACAGCTTGGA